ACACACACACACACACACACACACACACACACACACACACACACACAGTGCTAGTCAAACATGACTAGCAATAAACACCTGTGAGCAGGCACCTTTTAGGAGGAAGGGGTGAGGTCTCCTGCTGGATTTGGAGGGAGGGTAGCAAGGCAAGTTTGCCCTCAGTGGTTCCAATCACTAAGGGACTTAGTCTATTTTCCTCTAAAGTACTGTTTTCACTTTGCGAATCAGAACATTATCTGTATTTTGTCTACCCAATTTTAGTTAAAACAGGGTGACATTCCAGTATTTTAAATATTGATAGTTTAAAGAGGCAAAGTTTAAACCGTTGAAAGATCTTAAACAGTCTCCTCAACGGAATTTCTACTGATTTATTTTTTTTTCTTACCTAAAGTAAATTTAAAGTTGAAAATGAGTTATCAAATGCTTAGTTTACAACAAAGGTTGCCAATCCTCATGTATAGAGAAATTTACTGTGTTATAGTAGATGAGCAAAAACCCCTTAGATACTTTCTCCAAATACTCCTTTTATTCGTACAGTTTTCAAGGATGTTATGGAGTGTGCAGAAAGCATTACCTCCGTCTAGAAAGGTGACCATAGCTCTGCCATTACTACCATTCTTACAGTGGTGACAGCCTACCTAAAGGGTTGTTCTTCTTTGGATTTTTTCCTTTATTTCTTACAGAAAACCAGTCTGCAGCTTAGCCAGGCTAAGCCTCCTGGCATCCTGAGATTTTCTCTCCGCCTCCATGGATAGAGAGTATAGTTACAGTTGATGGAAAGAGGCCAAAGAATAAACGTAGCTAGTTAAGGAGCTCACTGAGGAAAGATTAACAGACTTTTTTATTTATAAAAAGCCCAGTGAGGGGGCTGGAGAGATGGCTCAGAGGTTAAGAGCACTGGTTGCGCTTCCAGAGGTCCTGAGTTCAATTCCCGGCAACCACATGGTGGCTCACAACCATCTACAATGAGATTTGGTACCCTCTTCTGGCCTGCATGCATACATTCAGGCAGAATACTGTATACATAATAAATAAATAATCTTTTTTAAGAATAAAATAAAAATCACAGTGAAAGTAAGTAAGGTCTTGTGAGACAGTCAACTTTTGGTTGTCAGTGAGCATTTAACATCAGTTTCTCAGAACTTACACTCTTGAAGGTTCTGATGAGCGAGAAAGTGTATGTACATTGTGTGGCTTCAAATGGTTTTAGTTATCACTCAAGTAACCAGTCAATATATTTTGCATTAGTGCCTGTAGTTGATAATTTTCCTAAGAAAACCCTGTTTCCCAGATACAGCAGGGTCTCTAGGGTATCATCGCTCATCTCTTTTTCGTTTCCACATCCCAGCCTAGTTTGTGCAACATGAATTTCTCATTTGTGCTCATTAGAGAGAATGAGGCAAAGTCAGCGTGTCTGGCTGCCCGGGCTTCCACAAACACATTATATTGTACCGTGTGCTTATCTGTGTTGCCATTTCAGCAGTGTCTATCTGTTTTAATTATCAATGTTTTCTTTTCTTTCTACTCTGCCACCAAAAGAATCTTTGGCTGCTCCTGACCTCAGCAAACCAAGAGGTGACTTATGCATGCCAGCTGTGCGTTAATAATCACTAAAAGTCACTGGGAACGACTGGCCCAATGCCGCTGAGCTTCACTTGGGTGCCCGAGGCTACCGCAGTAACTAAGCCCGCGGCTGTGCACTGCCTTGAAAGATGGATTGCCTAACCTTTTCTCAGCTGTCAGAGAACTGTTTAAATCCTAAGGAGAGAAAGATAGAACACCTACCCTTAAGTTATGGCTTGATTTTCTTTAAAATAAAAAAAAAAAAAATGTTATTGTCATACTTTCCATAAGGATCCCTAGTCCTATTAAATGGTAACAAAGATTGATTGTTATAGCCTGTTACAAACTTTTTTTTTTAAACACTTTATTTGGTTATATTTGTTTGATTTAGGGATATCGGTTGACGCCTACCCTCCAATGAATTAAAATAATTCATTGTTCTGTTCATGGCTAATAAAACCAGAATGACTATACTGTTACCTTTTCTGCTGAATTTCACATCTTAGTTAGAAGCTGTTTTTGTTATTTTTGGTTTTGCCTTAATTAGTATTTTTAGCTGACAGGCCGCACAGAGCTCAGTGATGTTTGGAATTTCCCCCAAAGCCCTTCGCTTTGAAAGCCTCTTACTAACTTCCTGTGCCGCCTTCTTACCAAGCAGGGCCAGCAGGTACAGAAGGACAGTTGACGAGTGGTTAGGATTGTTGGTAGAGAACTGCATGTGTTCTGTATGGTGCAGCCGCTTCTGTTGCCTTGAATGTCAGATACGTACTAAACCCGCAAGTTCACATTCCGGAAATAGTCACGGTGTCAGGGTGGGGCTATGTCTTCAAGGGATGAGCTTGGAATGAATGCACATACACTTGTGTCTGATACTCGGAGCCCTTTCCCCGAGGCACGGAAGCTAAGAAACCAACTGAAATCTCGTTTTCTTTTCTACCAAGGGTACCACTGGGATACATCAGACTGGATGCCGAGTGTCCCTCTGCCAGACATACAGGAGTTCCCCAATTACGAGGTTATTGACGAGCACACACCCCTCTACTCGGCAGACCCAAATGCCATTGACACTGACTATTACCCTGGGGGTTATGACATTGAAAGTGACTTTCCACCCCCACCGGAGGACTTTCCTGCGCCTGATGAACTGCCACCATTGCCTCCAGAATTCAGCGACCAGTTCGAGTCCATACACCCACCCAGAGACATGCCTGCAGCGGGTAGCTTGGGATCTTCCTCCAGGAGTCGGCAGAGGTTCAACCTGAATCAGTATCTGCCCAATTTCTACCCCGTCGATATGTCCGAACCTCAAAAAGAAGGCACTGGGGAGAAGAGTACATGTAGAGAACCCTATCCCCCCTACCCTCCAGGGTATCAAAGAAACTTCGAAGCCCCCACCGTAGAAAACATGCCCATGTCTGTGTACGCCTCCACAGCTTCCTGCTCCGACGTGTCAGCGTGCTGTGAAGTGGAGTCTGAGGTCATGATGAGTGACTATGAGAGTGGAGATGACGGCCACTTTGAAGAGGTGACAATTCCTCCACTGGATTCCCAACAGCATACAGAGGTGTGACGCTCAAACTCCTCCCCAAAGTGCCTGGACTTTACCCAACCTAGAGGAGGTAGCAATGATCTCCCAGTTGTTCTTTGCAGCAGTCTTTCGTCCTCAGGCCGCAGTGGGCGTGGCTGCACGGAGTCACATGCCTCTTGCCCTGTTAGCCATTTCCAGTGTCCTAACCGACTGTAACTGATGAGGTTTTCATCGCCTGTGCCATCTTGAGCATCTTTTCGTATTTAGATGTGTCTCTGTTAAAGTAATGAAACAGAAATCGGTCCTGTCATCTTGTTAGCATGATTCATGTATTTATATAGATTTGATTATTTTAATTTTGCTTTTTTTGTGTAAATTTTATGTACATATTTGATTTTTTTTTTTTTAAATAGATTTAACTAGGTTTCCAGGACGCATTGTGCATTTGTTTTCTGCTGGATTTGGGTGGTGTTAGTGTCATTGCCTAGCACCCTGATTTTCTAATGTAACCAGGGTTTCGCTCTGTTCTTTCCCACTGAAGTGACATTTCATTAACACATTTCAGTCCAGTCGTTTCTAGCTGTACATAGAAGGTGAGGGAGACCTGTTACTGGACATGTCTTAAATGGGTTGCTGTATTAGGATTATAAACATTTTTCATTATTGGAAAGTGTAAAGGGGACCTTCTGCATACCTGTTTAGAACCAAAACCACCATGACACAGTTTTTATAGTGTCTGTATATTTGTGATGCAATGGTCTTGTAAAGGTTTTTACTGAAAACTATCATTAGCCAGCCTTTCTTACTGACAATAAATTATTAATAAAATACTTTAGCTTTGCTGCCTGGTTTTCTTCTGCGTTTATATTGCTGTTCATGATTCACCTGGCAAATTGAAATAGAGGGATCAATATAGATGTAAAGTGCTTACTCCAGTTGGGAAAGCCAGACCAGGCCATGTATGTAGCCTCTAGGTGGCAGTATATGGCCAATAAATGAGCATCTGAGTGTTCCTTAAACCCTCCCATCCCAGCTTCCCTAGTGCTGGGATTATAGTTGCCTGCAAACATGCCCAGTTGTAAGACACATCAATTAAATTACATGTGTGTGTGTTTGTATGTAGAAGTGTATGTGTGTGTATCTTAACCAAGAAAATACCCCCTTATATATTTTTAATTTATTAATACTACCAGCCACAATTTGAAAATACTTAAAAAAAAATCTTTGTCACAGTCATATATCGAAGTCACTTATGAAACATTTTTTTCACTTTTATCATAAACTTATACTTTTGTATGACAATATGAAATCTTAAGGTATTTTTCATTTATCTTTATAGGATTAAAATGCATCCGTTCAGCAGATATATATATATATACCAGCCAACCTGGTAAGGATTACACAGAATCATGGTTCCTTAGAGACATGGTTCTTAACCCTCCTAATGTTGCGACCCTTTAATACAGTTCCTCAGGTTGTGGTGACTCTTAACCATAAAGTTATTTTTTAATGCTACTTCATAACAGTAATTTTGCTACGGTTATGAATTGCAATGAAAATATTTTTGGAGATAGAGTAGAGTTTTGCCAAAGAGGTCACAACCCACAGTTGAGAACTACTTCCTGGTAACTTTAGAAAGATGTTGGCTTTGAACTCAGTATGATAAACATCTTTGTCAGGGTGTGTGTGTGTGTGTGTGTGTGTGTGTGCGCGCGCAAGCACGCTTGCCTGTGCATGGCTGTGTGTGTGTATACAGTCACGAAATTTAAAAAGAGTAGAGAACTAACATATACCAACCCCATCTGTCCCATGCACTTTGATACCATAACATACAACCCTTTACGCTGTTCTCAGCATTCTCCTTTTGCATATTCCAAGTACTATATCGTGTCTGTTAACACTCCACTGCTGATACACCGCATCATTTTACCCTTATAGACAGTGCTGCATGAGTTCTCTCAGTTGGGGTTTCCATTGCTGTGAGGAGAAGCCATGACCACAGCGACTCTTGTTTGTTTTGGTTAGTTGGTTGGTTGGTTTTTGACCTCCACCTGCCTCTGCCTCACCAAGTGCTGGGATTACATGCCACGTGCGCCACCACTCCCAGTTCACGCCAACTCTTCTAAAAGAAAACATCTCGTTGGTCCTGGCTTACAGTTTCAGAGGTTTAGTGAATAATCATCATGGCAAGAAGCATGGTGACAAGCAGTGAGATGTGGCGCTGGAGGAGGAGGTGAGAGCTTTACAGCATAATGCAGAGGCAGCAGGAGGAGACTGCCCCACTAGACATAGCTTGAGCACATATGAGACCTCAAAACCCTCCTCCATGCACTTCTGCCAACAAGACCACACCTAAAAGTGCCATTCCACATGAGCCAAGCATTCAAACACAAATATATAAATATAAAATATAAATAAGTATATGTTGTTCCATATGATGCACAGATGGACAAAATTTCTTGGGGCTTATGCTGTGGTATAGGAAGTAGGACCAATCAGAAAAATATACAAAATTAAAGAGACAGATTTTGATTTGGAAAGTGACATGTCTATGAGAGAAGGAAAGGAGAGCTTGCCTTTTCAGAAGGTAAGCTGTTATTTGAATGAAATTATAAAATGAGTGAGGTGACAAGAATACGAATGCCTGGGAAATGAGTGTTCCAGCAGAGAATGGTTATACCTGGTAAAGCTGGAGAAAATAAAACTACAATTAGAAGGAGTGATCCCATCTTTCCTTCTACATTTGCTTTTGTTCCTTTGTGGAATGCTTAGCTTGCTGGAATAGTGGACTATGGATTTAAGACATCATCCTTCTCTGGTCTTTCAGGTTGACATTGCTGTTAGCTCTTGGTTTCTTTCTGTTCATAGCATCAGTAGGCAGGATTGGAATGGAAGAGTAGAAAAAGATCTCAGGAGTAAAATCAGCCCATTTTAGAGCTGCCGTTCTATTGTTACTGTTCTCTTAATTTAGAACAATAAATGATTTGGATATATTCAGAATCAGTGCATCATCTAAGTGCAGTGGCCGTCCAATCTGTGCAGTGAGTTAGGTCTGTGAGTATATCACTGAAGTGCGGTACACCTAAATTGGTACTGTACCAAGCCTTGTATCCTGCTTGCTCACCTCAAAGAGTGAGGTCATTTTTCAAATAATATCTTAAGGAGCTGCAAAGCAGTTCTTTGTCAACAAGTTAGTCGTTAATCTATCTGCTACTTATAAGACATTTTTCATTCCTTTATTGCAGTTTCAGCATTAAACGCTTTAAGTATTAATTTTTACTTCTCTTCAGACAGATTTCTGGAAATGTGGATCCTTTGTATCTAGAACATTGCTTATAACGTGAAACTCTGGAATTCCAATGGTGTAAAGCAGGCACCCTGCTGCAAGTTTTTTGACCCAAGTGGTTGGCAATACTTTTTCTCTTCTCTTTGCATTGAGAGCAGCCTAGCATGGGGCCAGCAGAGCAATATCTCTGCAGTAGACTTTCCAGAGACTCAAGACAATCCTACCCTCCATTCTACTGAAAAAAATAAAATGCTTTGAGAGAAGTTATTTCAATGAAAATAAAATCTAGAGAGGAAATGGGTCATCTTTGTGACCTTAGCTTTAATTTTGATTCCATTTGCATGAACTTGTGTGAAGGTAAGTTTGGGGGTGGTAATCCATGATGCCTCACAATTATCCTGACCCTTCATTCCACCTGCTTTTAGCTAATGGTACCCTGTGAACTACAGTCTCTACCTTCACTGGCTGGCAATGGGAAGAATATGTCTGCTGAACTCAGTCTACTGAGATTAGTCAGGAGCTCTGAAGGTCGCTGTGGACTGTTTTCTCTATTGCAGATTCATTCTCTGTACTTTCTGATTGCTCTTCAGCAAAGACATTAGTTCAATTTCAATTAGTGCACCAGCTGAGGGGAGAGTTGTTCGTCAGAATTTAATTTCCTCACTAGCCGTTTACAGCCTCTGCTATGAACAGGATGAACCACTTGAATCGAATAAAAATGGAGAGCTTTATTTTTTTTTTTCAACAAAATCCCAACCCTTGTGAACTCTTAGGGGCTTCATGCCCTTGTTGTTGTGCTGGGTGGACATGTAAGTGGCTACCTTTTCAAATGATGTTACACCCCAGAGGGAGAAAACATGATATATTTCAATGAAAATGTCATCAGACCCAATACATCTTGTAAAGAGCTAATAGTGTGCTTGTATGTGGAAGAGATAAATAGGAGCTATTTTTCTACATCATAGCCATTATCCAATTATCTCAAGGGGTAAGATGGAATTGTCAAAGTACCTAATGACTGTTACTTCAATTCATTTTGGTGTTTATGGCCCTAACCAATAGTTTTGATGTAAGAATGCACCTCTCCTTGAGCATGTGTTGACCTCCAGTCAAATACTTAGGAACACAGTTCTACTTTTTCAAATCCACAGCCTTAACCTATCTGCCAGTCAGAACTGCTAATAGACATTTACATGCTGTTCTAGTCTTTGTGACTGGTGTTTATATTTTTTTTTCTGTTTCAAATTGGGCTCTTGCATTATTTTTTAAATTATATTTATTTACATAATGCATCATGTTTTGATACACATAGTTTTGGTACACATAGTAAAATGATTACTTTGTAGTCAAGCAAATTCATATTTATCCTATCATCTCAAATGTTACTAGGGTGTGTGTGTATGTGTACATGAGAAAAGTACTGGGACCTGGGTATGGTAGCACAGGACTGTAATCCCCGCCCTTGGGAGACAGAGGCAGGAGAATCATGGGTCCCACACAAGTTTGGGTGACAAAACACAAGAGAGTCAATAAACAAATGAACAATTTCTAACACTCTGTTGGCAAATGTCCTATTTTGGTAAGTTGAATGAGGAATGTCCCCCACAGGCTCATTTATCTGAAAACTCGCTCTCCAGTTGGTGGGGCTGTTTACTTGTGGAGTCTTGGAGAAAGTCTATTTCAAGCAGTGGGCTTGGGAACTTCATAGCCCAGCCTCCCTTCCAGTTCACTCTCTCTGCTTCATGTTTGGGGTCGAACGTGTCATCTTTTAGCTTCCTGCTGTGGCTTCTTACTGTTATGCCATTGTGTGTCCTCCCTCTACAACCGTAAGCCCAAAATAAACATTTTCTTGCATTTTGCATATATTGCCTTGGTTGTTTCACCACAGCCACAGGAAAGTAACACATAGCTGGAGTCTTCATACTGTGCTCTAGTACAACTCAAGCTGCATACATAAAATTGTGTGCCCTTTGACCTCCACCTCTCTCTCACGTCCTTCATGGCTAGTAGCCATTTTACTTCTCTCAGTTTCTATGTGTCTGGTTTTTTGGTTTTGTTTGTTCCACATTTGAGTGAAACCAGGTATTTTTCTGTGTCTGACTCATCTGACTCAGCATGATGGCTTCCAAGTTCATCTGTAGTGTCTTAATTAGGGTTTCTATTGCTGTAACAAAACACCATGACCAAAAGCAAGTTGGAGAGGAAATGATGTATTCAGCTTGTACTTCCAAATTCCTTATTGAAGGAAACCAGGACAGGAACTCAAACAGGGCAGGAACCTGGAGGTAGGAGCCAATGGAGAGGCCATTGAGGGGTGCTGCTTACTGGTTTGCTCCCCATGGCCTGCTCAGCCTGCTTTCTTATAGAAACTAGGACCACCAGTCCAGGGATAGCCCCACCCACAATTGACTGGACTCTCTCTCATCGATCACTAATTAAGATATTGCCTATAGCTGGACCTTGTGGAGACAGTTTTTCAATGTTCCCTCCTTTCAGATACCTCTAATTTGTCTCTCTAGTTAAAATAAGACTAGCCAGCACAAGTGGCAATTGTCAGGGTTTCCGTTTGTGTTACAAAAAGAAGATATCTAGTTGTCTGGGAAATGTTTTAATAAAATATATTTATTTAATTTTCAAAACCAAAGAACGACTGTAGTAATTAAATTACTTTAAGGCACCAGACACTTTAAATGTATCACACAAACAATAAGGAGACTTTTCTACTAAAAGAAGAACAGAGGAAATTTTAAGCTAAAAATCCAGGAAATCTGCACTTGTGAATTTATGATTAGTCTGTGGCTTAATTTAATTTTTAAGAGATTTATTTATTTTTACCTTATGAGTATTTGCCTGCATGTATGTCTCTGTGCTGTGAGTGTGCCTATGCACTCAAAGGTCAGAAGAAGGCAAGGGTCTCCCTAAACTAGAGTTAGAGATTAATTAGCCACTGTATGGGTGATGGGTATTGAATGTTGGTCCTCTGTATAGCTTAATTTTATAAGACATAGGGCTTTAGGGCATCAAATCTTTATAAAATTTAACCAAATATTGACAGTCTACTTTCTATAGAGGCAATTTTCATAAATTTGATAATTTGGAATCCTGCAGTTTAGTGCTCTCATATATGCTTATAAAAGTTATGAGTTTTATACCCATGTGTGCATGTGTGTGCATTGTTTGTGCTATACATGATGTATTTGTGTAAGCATGCATACCATAGTATGTGCAGGTCAAAGAACAACTTGGTGGAATCAGATCCCTTCTTCCACCATCATGTAGATTCCAGAAATCAAACTCAGGTCACTAGGCTTGGCCAGCAAGTGCCATTATCTGCTGAGCTCTCTCACGGACTCCAGATGGAGATGTTTTAAACCATAAACACCAGTGTTACTGTCGCATGTTGCTAATTCCCCCCCCCCCCCCCCCCCCCCACTGAATCTAGGCCTTACAATAAGGAAAATGCTGAAAAATACCTAAGGTTATGATTGGTCTTAGAAGGACTTTATCTATGAATAACTGAGCGAATATTTGGGGAAAGCCTACTTTTCCAGCTCTAGAAAACCTCTACCTCTGGAGAGCTCACCATTTGCAACGTAGCTGATCAAACACTGACTCTTGAGTCCAGAGAAGCTTCATCTTAAAATGATGTCCAAACACGAATTTCCTCTGTAAGAACAAGCGCTGTCTTTTTCCACACACCGTTCTCCAGATTCCAGTCAGGGTAATCCGATATCTGGACGTCATGATGGCCTGTGCTTAGCTTTCTCAAGCTGCTCTCTGATGCCAAGGACCAGGGCAAGCACTGTCCTCCGTTCTAGCGCTCTCCCACACACCCTCTCCCGCTGGTGCAACCTTCCGACAGTTTTCCATTCCCTTTCACTATGTGTTGCTTCCCTCTCCCCCAGGCTTTCCCATCCTTCCTTCCCTGGCTTCTTGTCCACTTGGCTGACCAATAGGGCCATCTCCTCGAAGTTAAAGTCGCCAATAGGTGTCACTCACAAGCACTTTCAATTAGTATCTTTTAAAAACTGAGTTGTAAACGTCAGATCTCTGCAACAAGAGATCCACCTCTGAATGCGCTTCAAAAAAAAAAAAAAAAAGTCTTCTAAAAATGGTGTTCTGAAGATTTCTTTTGAAACTGTTTCATTAAAATACACTGACAGGGCTGGCAAGATGACTCAGCCAGCAGAGGAGTTTGCTAATCAACCTGAAGACTTGAGCTTAATACCATACCGAGAACCAGCACAGTAGAAGGAGAAAACCCATGACTTACTTGTCCTCTGACCTTTGTATTTGCATATAAGTAATAATTTCTAAATGCATATAAAAAGAATTGCATAAGTCAGCTGGGGGTGCCCCTGATGAAGTGTCAATTTCCACCATTACGAACGAACACTAGAATCTGCAAATCACGTTGGTGGCCAGGCATAGTGGCACATGCCTGTAATCCTTGCGCTATAGATGAAGAGCCAAGAGACTTGAAGCAAATTCCAAGGCCTCATTATCTCCAAAGCAATTTGGCCTACCAATGCTCCTTTGCCAGACCCTGTCTCCTATCGAACAAAGCAAAACCATAGACACTATTTGTTGCATGACATCAGTTTTTACGTTTGGTCAGAGCTCAAGATTCAATCTGTAGTTCTTTGATATTGAATTAAATATTTCTGACTTATGAGTTGACACACACACATACACAAACCTCTCTGAAGGAAGAAAGCCTAAAATAGTTAACTGTTGACTGACATATCTATTCACAAGCACAGACTCGATACAGACGACGCAAACTGTGAACCAGCAAGTCCTATGGTATGAAGCCACCTGTCATCTTTGATCCATGATCTTTTCACAGTTTTAATGCAAAGATAGTTAGATTCAGCAAATTTCAATTTTCTTAGAATTGTCAGACTCATCTTAAAAAAAAAAAAAAAAAAAAAAAAAAAACTTACCAAAGTTGGTGTCAGTGAGATTCTTCCATACATCCTCTTGTAGAGGCTTTGTGATTTCAGGTTGTATGCTTGGGTTTTTCACCTCCTTTGAATTACTTTTGCACATTGTATAAGATGAGGGCAGAGCACGAATTGAGTCTTCTTGACACCACATATTGAACAGAACGTCCTTTTCTGTTGTGTCTTCCTGGTAGGTGCATACTTTAAAATAGATGTTCTGTTGTAAGGTCACACGGACAACATAAAAATCATATCCATAAACCTTGTGAAAAACAAAAATTTGTCTTGCTAAATAATGTGACCAATAAATAAATCTTATCCAATAGGAATCTGCTAAGGTAGGAATTGTTTTCGGTCCATCAGAAAGATGCAAAATAAAATTCTACCTCACCCCAGTGAGAATCAAGAAAACAAATGACAACAAATACTGGTGAAGATATGGGAAAGAAAAAGCCATTGCTATGGGAAGATACACCAGTGCAGCCCTTGTGGAAAATAGTGAAGTCCCTCAGAAAGCCAAGACTAGAACTACTGCATGACCCAGCGGTACCATTCCTGTGCATGTACCGAAAGGCCTCTGGAGTTGTTGTTACTGTTTTGTTTTTGAGACAAGGTCTCTCTGTGTAGTACTGTCTGTCATGGCACTTGCTATGTAGACCAAGCAGGCCTCAAACTCGGAGACCTTCCTGCCTCTGCCTCCCGAGTGCTGGGATTAAAGGTGAGCGCCATTACACCCAACCTTGAAAGGACTCTGTATCCTACCACAGAGACACTTGTTAGCATATCCACTCTCTCTGCATCTATTTAATATAGTGCTTGAAGTTTTTGCTAGAGCAATAAGACAACTAAAAGAGATCAAGAAGACACAAATTGAAAAGGAAAAAGTCAACGTTATTATTATCTGCAGATGATATGATACTATCATATCATAAAAGCCCCTAAAAATTCTACCAGGGACCCCTACAGCTGCTAAACACTTTCAGCAAAGTGGCCGGATACTAGATATTAAATCAGTAGCTCTCCCGTATACAAATGAAAAATAAGTTGAGAAAGAAATCAGGGAAACAACACCTTTCACAATAGCCACAAATAATATAAAATATCTTGGGGTAGCTCTAACCAAGCAAGTGAAACATCTGTAAGATAAAAACTTCAATCCTCTGATGAAAGAAATGGAAGAAGATATCAGAAGACCGAAAGATCTCCCATGTTCATGGATCGGTAGGACTAACAGTAAAAATGATCAGCCTACCAAAATTAATCTACATATTCAACACAATCCCCATCAAAAACCCAACAAAGCTTTTTACTTTAAAGGACAATACTCAACTTCATATTGTAAAACAGAAAACCGAAGAGAGCTAAAACAATCCTATATAATAAAAGAACTTTCAAAGGTATCACCACCCTGGATTTCAAGCTGTATTAATAAAAATTACATGATATTGGTGCAAAAACAGACATGTTGACCAATGGAATAGAATCAAAGCCCTAACATATATCCACACACCTATGGACACCTGATTTTTTATAAAGAAGTCAGAAATATACAATGGAAAAAAGCAAGCATCTTCAACAAATGGTGCTTGTTTAATTAGGTATGTACATGGTATAAGCTTATAAGCTACTTAAAAATGATGAAAATAATAAAAAGAAATTATTCTTAATAAGAATAAATTCTCAATAGTACAAATTTGTAACTTTTACTAAGGAAATTCACACAGCTGTAAAATATACACCTCATTGAAAACCAAGGTTCCGGAAATTAACTTCTGTGCTGTGGGTTTGGCTCTTACCACGTGCAGGGACCTGCAGCTTGCACTGAATAACAAGGCGAGGCACTGAGATAACAGTGACAGATCCCAAGGTGTCTGGGACCACGCGCTTGTCTGTGAACCTTAGCTATGCGATTATAACCACAGCATAGGGAAGTAGCTATTGTCAGCATCCCCACTTTATAGTTCTTTGTTCTCAGTGACAAGATTAAATCTTAGTGACGTTCCAATTGCTGTGATAAAACGCTGTCACCACAGCAATGTCCAGAATGAAGACTTCTTTGTTTTGGGGCTTACTGTTCCAGGAGGCTAAGTAGATGCCCGTGGTGTCAGGGGAAAAGGTAAGGCAACAGGCAGAATGGTGGCCAGAAGACCAACCTAGAGCTCATCACTTGAACCACATCCAGGTAGCAGAAAGAGAGCATTAAGAGCCACCCATGACTTTGGAAACCCCAAAGCCTGTCCCCAGTGCCATGCTTCCTCCAGCAAGGCCACACCTCCTAAACCTACCCAAACAGTGTCACCGACTGGGAATCAAATATTCACATGCCCATGAGTAGGGAGGAACCTCCTTCAAGCCAACATAGTGAGCGGTGGACAAGGTCCTTGCTGTTCTTCAGGGTCAAATTTGCAGCTCTCCTTCTCTCAGCTTGCTTCCCCGACACATTGCCTCTTGCTGTCCATTTCACCTTAGCTTAAAGTCCTAGAGATGCCAAAGCTCCACCCCTTGTCCTCACTCTGCCCTGGGCCTCTTTCATCCTTTCTGTTCTTTGCTTACTTTATTGACCTCAGGAGCTCCGTGTTCACAAACATTAGCTTAGATCGCTTTCTCTTTACACAGTCAACAGAACCATGAACTACTTAAGAGTAGTCATGATCTTTGGCTGGGAAACGGTTTCTTGGTGTAGTTAGCGGGTTACCTGCACGGAGCTCTGGAGCAGTCCTTTCATTAAAAATAGAACTATGGAGGCTGGGGACGCAGGGCAGGGGGTGCATAGAAGAAGGCCTTGGCTTGATCTCCAGAACGGCAGAGAGCTGGGCATGGTGGTGGCACATGACTGAAGCTCTACCCCCCAGGGAGCAGAAGCAGGAAGGTTATAAGTTCGAAGTTACCCTTGGAAGTTTGAGGTCAGGGATATGTGAGATCCTATCTTACAACACAAACAAAACTTCCCCTCCCCTGCCCAATTACAAAGAACAGAGCTATTACAATAAGGGGGTTTTGTTTGTTCTGTTTGTTTGTTTTGCTTTTTGTTTTTGTTTCTCAGTGAGTAGATCAAAATTAAAGACCTTGCCTACTCAATTCGTAAATATTCTTTTCAAAACCAAGACACCTTGTGCGGACATAGCTCAGCAGGTAGAATGTTTGACCTGCTTGTGTGAAGCCGTGAGTCTGATTTCCAGTGTGAACACACGGAAACAGCAGCAGCAAGAAAACACCACAGAATCCTAAAGTACCGTGACTGATACAGCCCTGCATTTGGGCACAGTAGAGGGGTGCCAGGACCTCTCCCGACACCAACTGAAGATGAGGGGAATCGCCATGAGTAAATTTCTGGTTTAAAACACAATAGCAATGCCCTCCTGGACAACTGATGGGTTCATGCTGTCCCTGAAAGAAAGGAACACAGAGGGAAACCTCCTGGTCTTGCTAGCATGGACAATGGAGGTGGGGCTGTTGGGCCCCTGATTTGAAACGTTCCCAGACATTCACAGCTTCTGGGAGGTGGGAGGGAAACTGATCCACGGTGGAAGCTCCACCCTGTATCATCACTCTGTGGTCTGCAAACTCTGAAAGTGCTTGCACCTTGTCAATTCCGTTTATTGGCTCTCCTTCCCCAGCCCAGTCACACACAGAGACACTTCACCGGCTTCCTTCTGGCAAAACCCCTTAATTTTTTACAGCCATGCATCCTGGGTTACTAGTGTTCTGACTTACTGAAATTTCCCAGAAGTGCTCAGTAGACACTTGGTGTGAAATTGCTCATGACATTCAGGCACCGGCTCTAATCCAAGCTTTATGGAGGGCCCTCTAGAAAAACAGAACTCCTGCTTAGATCAAAGGGATAGGAGTTTCCCCCTCCGGGTTTAAGATGAGGTCTCGGTCTGCTATAGATGAACTCATGGTGGAAACCTAAGTGTTTCCTTGAGGCAGAACTAAGTTTATGAGATCTTTGTACATGTCTCTGTTATTTTAGCTGTAGGCAAATTCCTATAGATTGTGACCTTCCTCTTCCTCTCTCTCTCTCTCTCTCTCTCTCTCTCTTTCTCTCTCTCTCTCTCTCATGTGTGTTCACACTCCAGTATCCTTTACACAGCTAGCAGTGTTCAGGTATGAAACGTATGATCACACACCTTCTGCTTCTGTGGTAGAAAACAAACAAACAAACAAACAAACAAACAAAATCTCAAAGAGGCTTTTAATGTATTCAGGATTCGTGTTCAGCAAGGTTTTGAGCAGCAGAGAACACATTTATAAGGAAATTAATGATTCAGGTTTTCAGCTGAAGCAGAAAAACACGTCTTTCTCCGTTGCTGCACTGAAACTGGCAAATCCTCCCGTCCTGTGAGGTGGACCTCATTCCTTTCCCCGAGGAGATCCACCCCTCTGAGATAATATACTCAGAGCAGCTTTGATCTCGGGCATTCTTTCTGGGTCAGTCTCTGAAGATGCATGGAGAGCACAGTTACACAGACGCTTTGCCTGGCCGTGGTGACCACAAAGATGGCAAATCCACCCTTAACCCGGTCTTGTCCGCTGTAGCTCTTAATATAAGCCATGACTACGAAAAAATCTCTTATCATTGTGTGCCCCAACTTTCGGGCTTTCGAGCTGTTTGTGTGTATCTGCATGTAAGTGTGTGTTTGTGCATGTTCCTGTGCACACAGGTACCTGTGTGAGGGTGTATGTGGAGGTCAGAGGTCAACGCCAGGTGTTCTGCAGGAGCTGTCCACCTTGGTTTTGGAGACAGGATCTCACACTGGAACCTAGAGACAGACTGGATGAACAGTAAGAGCCAGGGATCTGTCTCTGCCTTCTCAGCTCTGAGATCATTAAGCATGCCATCATACCCAGGTTTTCAAATACGGATTTGGGGGACTGAACTCACATCGTTATGCTTGTGTAGTGCATTTTACCACTCGAGCTATCTACCCCCAGCCCTAGAGTATTGATATTTAATACATCTGTATGTGTTATCAACCACATGAATCAAAATCACAACTTTAGGTTTTGTTCTACCCCAGCTCCTGTGTGTGAGAGAGGGGAAGTGAAAGGAGGGGGAGAGAGGGAGGGAGAAGGAGAGGGAGAGGGACAAACAGAGAGAGCACATGCCAAGGCACAGATGTGAATGTCAGAGAACAGCCTTGGGCTTTGAGTGCCCGCCCTTGCCTTCTACCTTCTTTGAGGCAGTTTCTTTGTTCTTCACTGACGGAAACACTGGGTTGCTGACGACGGACTTCTGATGGTTTTCCTTTCTCTGCTCTCCATCTGGACACACAGGCATGTCTATGTGGGTTCTGGAGATAAGAACTCGGGTCTTACCATGAGGGGGCGGGATGGGAGGAGTGGGGTATAACTGGGAGGTGGAAAGGGAGCAAAAACCATAATCAGAATATATTATATGAGAAAAAAAAATCTATTTTCAATAAAAAGGGGGGTAAAAAGAACTCAGGCCTCATACTTGTCAAGTTGAGCCATTGAGACATCTCTCTTGCCCAATTTTAGATTTTTAAATATAGATTTTTAAAGAGCTTCAAAGAGAAAGTGGAGGAAAGGGCTTTGTGTATTTACTCAGATATTGAGCCTTTCTGAATTGAGGTGATGGTTCCAGGAACAGAACCAAGGGTATTAGCTATGCTAAGTATATACTATACTACCAGTTCTTAATGTCCAGTTTTTAATTATTTCCTAATTACAAGCTTTAGTAATACTGCTATTGTTTTCACCCACATTCACTTGGAAAAAAAAGTATTTTATAAGCTCCTTAATGCCTCGTTCTTGGCTACATCATAGTCACTCCTCTGGTTTATTTATGTTTAAACAGTTCACGGTATTTTTTAATTATAGACAGCAAATATTTTTGTGGTCAGTTATAGTCTGTTGAGAAACAGTGTCACTTAGGAATGAGATCTGTAGCTGTGGAATCAGAGGGACTCAGGTTCAAAAACGACCCCTACCCACTACCAATTGCTAACTTCGGCACATTACCTCACATTACCACTGTTACGGCGTTTCAGCCAGCGTGGTCCTCTCCACGTCAAACCCTGTCAGATTAGCATTGTGTAGGACAGCCCATGTGAGATATCTCCCCAGGGCTGTGCAGAAATCCCTAGTTCAGTTGGTGACAGCTCTTGCAGCCTTTTCTATGCTCATGATGGTTTTCTGTCCTGCTTTCTTGCCCATGCTTACTGAGAGAGCTCTTCCTCACCCAGAGGCTATAGAATCCTTCACCCTTTCCTTAAGTGTTTCTTTGCTTTCATCATCTATCCCTCTCCTCGCTAATTTAAGATGTTAGCCTTCTCAAATCTGTGTTTTATTTATCATTATCGTTTTTTTAGACCAGGTTGGTCCTGAATAGCCAAGGATAGCCTTGATCTTACCATCCTTTGCCATCGCTCCTGAGTGCTTTGTTTACATGATTGGGCTGCCATACCCAGTTTTTACAGCACTAAGGATGGAACCTAGGATTTCATGAACACTAGATAGGCACGCTATCAGCAGAGCCACAAGTACAGGCCCCTCGGTTCTGCAGTTCATTTCTTCTTGAACGTATTGGTGAATGTAATGTACTTAACATAATTTGTTGAGACAGGATTTTATGCTCCAACACTGGCTGAGCCTGCCACTCAAGTTGTTCCCCGAACTGGCATCGATCCTCTTGTCTCAGCCTCCAGAGCTATGACACAATCCACTAGGCCTCGTTGCTTAATTTTTAATGTAATTTTCTGATATTCATCTTATTCAAACCTCCTTTTCTTTCTTTCTTTTTTTTTTTTTTTAATTCTTCCAAAGGAACTTTGGAGGTGATTGGGAATTGGCCTAATATAAAACAGATAAAGAACATGAAACTCTTAAGTGTTCAATATGAGAGCATCCTGTGTTTCCTAGTTTGTGTAAGTCCTCTTCCCTATGCCTCAGAAAGTTTTGGGGGTTTTGTTTTGCTCTGCACAGAGCTGGCTCATCCACTTGGCAGAAATCTTACATTGTGGTTCTACACCAGCTTTTCTTATCTGGTGTTCCTGGTTTCACCGATATTCTCAGAAGAAGTTACACAGCTGTCGTCTGCCAATATTTACATTTTTCATTTAATTACCAGAAACATCTAGCACAAACGTTAAATGGTGCTATGCCGGTCGGAAAAGATACCCTTTTTATTTCTTTTATTTTTACACATCATGAGCTATAAAGCTGATGTTAGGTTCTATTTCATCCCCACTTTGCCGATAAGGAATCTAGAGCATCTAGTGGCAAAGTTTTGTACATCAGTCCTCGTTAGGATTCAGCTCCTTGCACTGTGGCCTTCCAGGGTGCAAGGTCCAAGGAGGAGGAATTCTTCTGAAATGCTTTGGAGTTTCCTCCACTCGACGTCTCCACCTGTTTCCCAGATTCCCGCCGCACGGGGGCGCAATGTGCACGCGCTGCGGGACCTCTGGGTCCAAGTTGCCGGGCAGTTGACAGCAGGTGTCAGCAGGCGACAGCGGCCAAGTGCAGGGAGGGTGTCCTGCCACGGGGAGGGGCTGGAGCGGGCAGGACCTCTGTGAAGCAGCCATAAGGATGCAAAGTAGGGAGGGCTGGGTCGAGCCATAAAAAGTGGGGAGAGGGCACGAGCAGAGCTGGGCACTCGAGGGTGCGAGGCGACAGGACGATGGCTGTGGCTGTGCGCCGGTGAGGCATCCGGGGGACCATGAAGGCCAATGGCAGCGCGCTGCTCAATGCCTCTCAGCCCGCGCAAGGGAGCGGGGAGGGAGAACGACCGCGGCCGTCGTGGCTGGCCTCTACACTGGCCTTCATCCTCATCTTCACCATCGTGGTGGACATCCTGGGCAACCTGCTGGTCATCCTGTCTGTATATCGCAACAAGAAGCTCAGGAACTCAGGTAGGGGCTCGGGGCATCTCTCCCAGCGCTAGCCCTTTTGCGGGACAGCAAGAAAAGTTCGGAGTCGGTTTCCGAGGAATGGAACTTTGGCTAACTTTTCCTCCTAAAGAGTAAAGGCCACCTTTTCTTGACGCAGGCGCTCTGAGATGCCTTCATTCACAAGTCTTCAGTCCTTACAGATGGAAAACTTCTGTATGATTTCTGTTCCCTTCCGTAGCATCTCTTTACTCTTTCCGGGTCATTAGGTAGGATCCCGGCTGAGTAAATTCCTCAAGATGCCTTTTCAGATTAGATCAACGAACTCATCAGTTGTTTGGGTTTGCATATAAATCAGTTTCCTCAACTTTGATGAGATAGGAAAAGATGCATTAGCTGCCAAGATGACAGAGTCCGTGTTTCTATTTTATTCTCAGATGCAGTTTCCAGCTAATGGCACCAAATCGCAGTGTGGAGGGGAATGATGATAAGAATGCTGGGAAAGCACTTTTTGCTCCTCAACTCAACACGTCTGTATTAAAAAAAAAAATGGAAACTGTGCTGAGGAAAGCATTTGCGTAGAATGTAGGACTAGAGTTAATTCTGTATTTGAGTTATATATAGTTGGGGTTCCCTCAAGCTATGAGGTGAACTAGTCACGCTGTGTAAGAGCAGGTTGGTAGGCTCTGTTGCTGTTTCACACATTTAATTGGTGTCAGATAGTTTGGATTTCTATCCCTTGTTTAGAAATAAACTTTTGGGAGAAGGGTGTAGTTAAGCTCTTTGCTTAAATAGATGCTAAAGTGCTAATTTTGTCCTAAACCAGGTAGTTGGTAAAACCTCAAATTCAGGCAGAACATCTCTCCCTCTCTGCCATAGCTTCTGCAATGCTTCTGGCTGTGCAAAGTATAAGAATTAGTTTGAAGACATCTAATAACATGTTTCCAATTTGGCTTAGAAAATGGGATAACTTCCTTTCACGAGTGATTGCCTTAAACTGGAATTCTGTCTTCAGAATTCAGTAGCTTAGTGGTAGAGTTTGCCCAGCATTGCGAAAAGCCCTGGGTTTGCTGTCCAGCCCTGCAGCGAATGAGTATCTAGGGGGGCACACTCCCTCCTAGAACTAGGTGCCTCTCTGCCCCACACAGGGAATCCTTCGGCCACCCCAAGGTGAGGTGTCAGACTCACCCGATTTACGGAGAGGGACAGAATCATGTTTAGTATCTTGCAGGCTCAGTAGCGGGGCAGGGGTGGGCTTGTCTGATTCTTGGGGCTTCTGCCTGGAGCCCACCCACCCTGCTTCAGTGGTGTCCATAACCTGTACTTGGGAAGTCTGGATCCCACGAGACATTTTCTGTGAAAAGTGTTCACGCTCTCGGCGGCTTAGGAAAAGTGCTCCAGCTCTCCTAATGTTTTGGGCATCATTGGTAAACAACTCCTTGAGAGAGTCTGCATACTGCACACCTGTCGCCGCTGCCCAGGAGGCCCTGGGTGGGCTTTGACCTGCAAGGCTTTACAGCACCACGTTTTTATAGTTAGGCTATTTGCTCAAATGCACCACCATTGAGTTCAATCCATTTGAGGCTTTTTTTTTTTTTTTAATGAATTGTGATTTGGAACAAAGCTAGAGCTAGCTGACTCAAACATATTGCCAGATGCTTATTAAAAGTTCTAGTGCCTGTCTTTAATCCCAGTACTTGGGAGGCTGAGACATGTGGGTCTCTATGAGTCTGAGGCCAGCCTCGTCTACATGCCGAGTTCCAGGCAAACTGGGGTTACATATGAGACCTTGTCTCAAAATAAACGTTTTCATGATTACTCAATTTGTGTCTTTGTTCAGTTTATTTTGCTGGTTTTAAAAATGGAAAATGGAGAAATAGGAGGCTGGGGTGGGGATGGCTCGGCAATTAACAGCACTGTTTTTTCTGGCAAAGGACCCAGATTCAGTTCCCAGCACTCCCTTGACAGCTCACAACTGTCTGTAATGCCAATTCCAGGGGATCCTACACACTGTTCTGATCTCCACAGGCACCAGGCGTATGTGTGTCGTGCACACCCACATGGAGGCAAACACTCATACATATAAAATAAAAGCCTAAAGATCTTTTTGAAAAAGGGAAAGATGAGAAAAAGAAGGATAAAGCATCAAAATTTTTGAAACAGTTCTTTCTTTTGGAAGTATGGTATAACAGCAGAAAAATCTTTTGCCCTCTTTCTTTTCTCAAGAGACTTGGTTGGTCTTTCACGTCTTGAAGAAGAAAACCCCAATATTTAACCACCTTTGGGAGCTGACCAATCACAACAGGACTGCCTCTGAGCGACCAATCGTATCTGCTCTGCTCCAGTCCAATTTTTGCTTACGATAAACGGTACATCCTCAGTGGGTAAAACACAGTGGGAAGATGAAGATTCTCACTGCATACATTCTAATCCAAAAACTTAGTTGTGATCCAACGTCACTCTCTGCATTTGTCAGACAGGGATAAACTCTAGCCTCACACAATGCTTTGTTGTAATTGTTGTAAGTATCAAGTGAAAATGATGCATATGAAAATACGTTGAAAAAGATGGAGAAAGTAATGCTAGATAGGCCTTTATTGGGTTTTTTTTTTTTCTTTTCTTTTTCTTTTGGCTTGATAAAAAGAGGAGTTGCAGGCTCTGGATTAGCATGTTTTTCTCTATGTACATTATACTTAAGTTTACCTTTTTTTGTGAAACAATATAACAGTATCCTGCCTGTTCAAAATTCAGTTATCTGTCAATGAAAGCCATATAGGATATCAACAAAATGGTATCAACAAAATTAACAAAATGGTAGACTTTCAGGCATAGCCTGTTGGTCTTTATAGAAAACTCAGAATTCTACGAAGCTTCCATTCACACTGTTCTGTGCCCTCAATAAGTCTTTGCAAGGCACCCATCTTACTCTAAGTTCCAAGCCCCCCTAGCAATTCAATGAGACTGTGGCAGAGCAGTAACTGAAGAAGCAAAGGAAAACATTCAAGGCAATGGAGAGTGACTTTCATATCGGGGGTGGGGTGAAAACAAGTAAGTCAGCTCTACACATCTCAGGCTTTTGCTTCCAGAGATTGACCAACTGAGAGTCAAGAAAAGGTAGGCTAAAGTGATCCACCTCCACAGAGCATCTGGGATAGCAGGCATGCGTCCCAGTGTCTGCCACATCAGCATCCGCACTGTGTGAGGTACCATACCTGGAGATGATTTAACGTGTACAGGATTCTGTGCATCGCTTTTAGTAGTTTAGTTTAATTTAGTCTTAGGTTTTCGAGACAGGGTTTCTCTGTGTAACCTTGGCTGTCCTGGACTTACTCTGTAAACTAGGCTGGCCTCGAACTCACAGAAATCAGCCTGTCTCTGCCTCCCTGAGTGCTGGGATGCAGATATCATATTATTTGATGTGAGAAACTTAAGCATCTTTGGAATTGGATACCACATAGTTCTGGGAACCAATAGGGATGGCTCTATAGCCATATGCAGTTTCTCATCAGTTAAATGCTTCTGTATGGGGACAGTGGTATCAGGTAATACAGGGAAGAGTGGAAATTGCTAGAGTAGCCCAGGGTCTGTGCTTTAGAACTGTGGTTATAGATCACTGCTCTTCTTTGGTGAAGATCTGTCAAGCTCTTGCCCAGTTCTGATGTCCTTTGATTTCCCATTGTGTATCCTTGGTAAAGACCGCCAACTTATCATAAGTCAGTTGCCATCTCATATCTACCTCTGTCTGCTGAAGAAAAAACAAACAAACAAACAACCTTAATGACATCTACTCTCCCTTTCAAAGAACATCTACAAGTTAACAAACAAACAAACCCTCATGTAGTTTTCCCTATTTGAGAGAAGATAAAGTAGCTGACCACACTGCCTCACACAAGCTTTCTTCAGTGGGATACTGTCTGGTTGAGAAACTATGGGTGAAGTTTGGGAGAATGCACTAGGGCCTGTGATGATGAGGTAAAGGTGTGCATGGGGGATCAATTCTCCTAACTTAGCCAACTTTGCTGGGTTTGGTTAGGTCAAGTTGAGAGATTAGAATTGTCATGACTCCATCTGGATGTGTTCATTTTAGGAGGAGGTCGGGGCCAGCCTCCCCATTCAGCTTATGACAATGTTCAGGGAGAAAACAGCTGAGTTTATGCTGCTCATGTAGTGAGCACGTGGCCCTAAGCTGTATCCCAACAATAATGAAAATTAGCACTTGACCCATCAGAAGAATTTGAAAAATGAAGACTCAGCTGCACTGGCTCAGCATGTCTGCATTCGTGTCACAAGAGTAGTTTGTCACAAGATGTCTAGTGATTTGAACATTGGTACTCTGTGAGATGTTTGAAAATAATACTAGATGACAAAATAAAACATACACGCACCGGATAACTCAAAAATCCTCAAAAGAAATTTATTTAAACATAACAGATATCTGAGAACATATTTTAAAGTCCTCTTATGCTTTCAGAAATATTTTCTACAAAAAATGAGTTTTTCATCTTACGTTTTCTTGCTGTGACTGTTATGATGAGCAACAATTATAAGAGAATCAGTATTATGGGATAAATTGAAAGCAACAAGCTGAGTGAGTTTCTCAATATATCATTAATCTAAACTTGTGGTAAAACTTTCTTCTCTTATTGCCTTGATCTCTAATTGATTTAGCAAAAACTGATGGTCACTGTTGATTATTTCTGCTTACAATCAAATAACTTACTGTCTCTATATCCAACCAATGCCAACGATTATATGAATTAGTTTTTCAGACCAACAGTTTTGTTATTTTTTAAAACTCTACAGAACAATTTATGTTAGAAACATTTCCAAGCTTGAGAAAATTAGACCAAGAGACTGATAAAGTTGCATCTCCTGCCACGCTTTTTTATTTGGTCTGATTCCTACTTATTTTCCCATGGAGAAAGTCTGACCTCTAACTCTCCATAGCTAAGTGCATAGTGTAACCTGAAGCTTTCAAAGCACCCTCCCTCATTGGTCTACATCACAGTTTCTTCAGGCAGCTG